TGACACCCAACTCTATCTATCCATGAGCCCAGATAACTCAAACCAATGAGTTAAACTGCAGGAATTTCTTAAAGACATAAAGACCTGGATGGCCTCTAACTTTAACCCGCAGAAGCAGCATAACTTGGCATCAAAAATGAAAGTGCATCATTGAGCATATTTGGATCATTTTTAACATTTGTATTTGCTTTTAAATAAACACTTCAGATTAACAATGTTTATTTTAAATTACACAGATGTAATTTAAAAAAACAAAACACAGCCACGTTGTTTCTCCAGTTTTGGCCAGAGATTTAAAATGTTAAAATATGTGTCATTTCTAGACACAATTCCCTAATTTTTGAGAAAATAACAGGACATAATTTTATATAAAGTACTATTTAGAAGATTTTTTGGAAGTAGTGACTGCCTGAGTCTAGAACCCATTCAACCCTCTTGAAGATGCTCTGCCTGGCCTTTACTGCCACCTTCAGCTTCTGCTTGTTTGTTGGTCATTGACAGCAGCTGACTTACTTTGACTAATTCATTTGTTTTAATTGTGTGTATGTGTGTGTGTGTGTGCGTGCGTGCGTGCGTGTGTGTGTGTGTATATTAGAGGATCTGCGGCTTATCTTTACAAATAAGATGCTGGATGGAGACCTCAGCCTGCTTTGTGAATATGGAATCCAACACATGTCAGTCATCCAAGTAGTGCTAAGGCTTCCTGCAGGACGATGTCTGCCTACTGGGGAGTGCAGTGGCTTTGGTGAAAAGACAGGCAAAATCGAAAGTATGAAAAGTCTCTCTGAGTTTTAAATCCTTACTCTCATCGATATTTTTCTCTTTTCTTTTTCCTCCTTTAGGTACCAGTCATTATGATTATCATCGCACAAAACAGAATAAAATGGGGAAAATTTGCCAAGTCAAGGTTTTTGGCCCAGATGGTGATTTAAAGGTGATCGAGCTTAGCAGCACTGAGGAGCAATTTCAGAGCATGACCGTGAAACTTCTGAGAGACAAAATCAGACAGGCTTTTCCTAATATCCCTGCTAACCAAGGTAAAAACATTTCTTGATAAACAAACATCTTCAATCAAATTTCCCTATCCCTAGTTAAAAAAAATACAATACTATTTGAAAGCACATTATGCAGCAAGTTTAGATAATTCTTTACCCTCCCAAATTTGCCTGCCTAATGATATACATCCGTATTAAGCTTAAACTTCTGTATTAAAATTAATACAGATTTTGTTTAAGGAAAAAGTAGGTTTTAGAAGTTAAGTTCCCAGAAAACAGGGTTGGGGGAAAAAACAGTATGGGAGAAATATGCGCTTTCTTTGTAGTATCTCAGTACCTAGTCAGTACTCTCTACTCAACCCACAATACAATGTCAACACGATGGTTAATGGGACACCCAATACACAATTCCAGATTCACTATATTACTAAACATATTCACTCACCCAACCAAGTCATTGAATTTTGTCAAAGTTATGACCTAGGCATGCAGACTGCTTCATCAAACACTTGTGAAAGATTGGGTTGCTCTCAGGAGTTCAGTGAATTCCAGCGTGGTACAGTGATAGGATGTCACCTGTGAAACAAATCCAGTCAAAAAATATCCTATTCCAGTCAGCTGTTAGTGGAATTATAACAAAGTGGAAGCGACTAAGAATGACAGTGGCTCCGTGACTTAGTGTTAGACCATGTAAAATCACAGAGAGGGGTTAATGAAGGCCTCGTCTCCTTAAACGGAAGGATTTTCCTTCCATAACACTTTACATGTTCTCTTTGTATGTGTCTTCATGGCTTGCCTTTGTTGTGGAAGTTTTCCATTAAATAAAGCCTGTAGACGAGCGGTGAGTGGTAGCTAACATTCTTTAATCCAAACACACAAAGAACAGAAAACCAAGCTTGTGGAGAGCCTACATGACCACGGGGCAGGTCAGCATAGTCTCTCTGAGCCTAACATGGCTCTCAGTTAAATACCTTCTCCAGGAACAAAAGGCAGTACACAGCTGTTTCACACCTTAAGGTTCACACTCCCTTGCTACCTCCCAGAGTCCTCAAAGAGACAAAAGACTCTTCCTGTGGCATTGTCTACTTCCCCCAACTTCCTAACTAGACCCCCACCATTTGTCTTACAGTATTGGTGTGAGACATGTTAAAATCCAGTGGCACCGAGGCATTATACAATAAAATAATGTGATTAATACATAAGTAAAAGAAATTCCTATACACCTTCCTCTCTGTTCCACACACCTACGGTCCCAGCCTCCTACTGACATAAAATAGGGGAGTCATGATTAGCTGATGACCAGCCAGACTTCCCTAGCATGACCCCTGAACTCTCTGCACTACCCCTCCTCTGCAGCTCAGCCTTAAACCACACCCTGCCAACACATTCAGGAAAGCAGGCAGATGAATGATTACAGAATGATGAATGATCCCTTATTGAACTTATGAACAAGCTTCATTTATAAATTAGACAGCAAATATATGCAAACCTACAACAGTGTCTCTGAGAGTGACTGCAGTCACAAGTTAGATTGTGACTATTTGCAAAAAGATTGAGTCCTACCACTCGCCCTGTGCCATCGCCCTGTGAGCAAAAGTGTCATAATCCTAGGTTTTCACCCAGCATTTTCCATTTTGGTCTTTCAATTTATTTTTTCTGTTCTGTTTAACTTTGTTTGTGGTAGCTTTGCAGTTTTACGGTTGGTTTAATTCTATGCTGTAGGTTAGGTTGTGTTCTTGTTTGTATTTGATATTTTTAGTTTCTCTTATGCTAGGCTTACACTGTGCGATTTTTGGCCCATTTTGAGCCGATTTTTGAGTCGTGCGACCGTTTTGGTGATTGGCCCGATTTTGGCCTTCATCGTGCGTCGTGAAGCGAGAAGCGATTAACACCTCACGACCAGCTCCCGATCATCAATCGCTTGGTCGTGAGGATTTCAAACCTGTTTGAAATTCTCACAACCGCCATGAGAGTGTCTTCCGAGCCTTTTCTATGTTGCCTCACAAAATTATCACGACCACAACAACCGTGAAAATAGTTGGATTTACATTGCTGCTCAATCACAGCTTCCTGATCAATCTTTTTCATTAGCAATTTAGCAAAGTTGATGGCAGTGGTGTGCGTGTTTGTGTGAGTGAAAGACAGAGAGGGAGAACGAGCGACAGATTTACTGTTATAATCTTCATTTTATGGTCGCACAGTGTGAGCACTCAGGTCGCATCAGATAATTGGGCGGTATAGTGTGAGAGCCTGCATCGTGACCTACGAACTTCTAACCGCTGCGAGTCAATCGTGCAGTTTGAGCAGAAGCTGAATAACGTGACTGAAAAAATCGCACAGTGTATGCCCAGCTTTAGATTGGTAATGTGTATACTATTCTGTCGTGTCCTATCGTGGCCAATTAATAGTTCTTGGTTGTCATTAATTCAGATAATTCCAGCTGTGCATTTACTGTGACAGGTTATATCTGCTGTGAAAAGTTTTATACAAGGGTGTGTAACAACTTGTACCTTTACTTAGACTGTGTGTGTGTGTGTGTGTGTGTGTGTGTGTGTGTGAGAAAAGATCTGCGACTTATCTTTACAGATAAGCTGCTATGTGTTGACTCCAACCTGCTTCGTGACTATGGAATTCAACACACGTCTATCATCCAAGTGGAGCCAAGGGTTCCTGGAGGAGGGAATCTGCCCACAGGGGAAAACAGTGGGATGGGTGACAAGAATGGTAGAAACCGAAGTATGGAAAGACTCTGTGATATTTAAATATTTTAATAGCAGAGCAAAACAACATTTTAGCAACACAAGAACCCAAACAGTCCAATAACTGCTCTGGTTAGAATAGTAAGAAACCCACAACTAAATCCAGGGTGTTGAAGTTGTCCCACAATTATGCGTATAAGTATTTTGATCCCATGCCATTCACAGGGAACCTTTTTTTGACCATCCAAAACACAGATTGTTATATTACAATTTTTTAACATACCTCATCTTCATGGAGCAGGGGAATTTTGCCAGATAATGATGGGAGGAAATCTGTTGAAAGCATAGAGCTTTAAGAATATAATGTACAAGCTACATCACCTAGAATGAGGATGTACTAAAAAGCCTATTTCAACAGATCTCGGATATTGTTTTTTTGTTTATTTAATAAGAATTATGTGTGCATTAGCTATGTTTTCTTGCTTTTAATCTGGTTTAGGCAGTTGCAGAATACATTGTAAAGCACCAGTGACATAGTTATGGAGATAAATTTACCTCAAAAGTGTTGCAAATGTATACAAAATGATCCACACTGGAAACGAAGATTTACAAATGTGTGCAATAATTTGTGTGTAAGTTTTGAAGACTCGTGAGTGCATGCTTCAATCCATACACAAATATGAAGCAATCTGACCAGGTAAAGTGGAACACTTTGATGTTATCTTACCATTCGCTAATGAAAGCAGGCTAACATTAATGTTGAATAATCCTAACGTTTTAGGAAGTGGCAGGCTGCTGTGTAGTGTCTGTAGCTGGTAAATCTGTGTTTTTCTAGTAAAGGAGGTAAGAGTGTTCTGTTTTTTAAAAAAGAAACAGCCTTACACTGGAGGCCCAGATGTCCTAGTTTTACACTGGAAATTGAACACATCTACATTTCTGGAACTGTGCCAAGTTGGTAGCATTAAATTTGTCTCAAAACTAGTGAAGGGATGATGAAGCCCCATAAATGTGTTGAATCTTTCTGACTACTTGATCAGATCACAGGAGGTCCCGTTTAACAGCTCACTTGGAAATACTGATCATCGATGGTCATCGATGTACAGCAGCTGTGCAGTATAATACATGTGGGATTCATACCAGTGGATATGTAAACTTATTGATTCATCAACTGCAGAATGCCCATATGAGGTCCTGTATAACCTTAACTAACCATCCTCTCTGAGATTCAACAGAATCAGAATCGCGTTTATTGGCCATGTATATGCACAGACATATACAAGGAATTTGGTTCCAGCAGATAGAATAAATTCTGCATTTTTGACTTCCTATTTAATAAACTGATTTTTTTAAATGCTTTTTAAAAACTTCTATTCAAAAAACATTTTTGAATTCCAATTTAATAATGTAACAGTAGTTGAAATGCTTGTGTTTCACCACTAGGCGGTGCTCTTGTAATGCTAATGTCATTAACATACTTAGAAATAACAAGTCCTACGCTCCAAATACACCAATTTGTCCACTTGCAGGCCAAAGTGGTATGTTTGTTTATATTTTGTGAATTGTATATTGCAATATGTTTTAAAGCTGAAATATAATTTTCTTGTACATTTGTATTCACCAGTTCTACGGTGTACCTGTGTATGTTAAGAGAAGCACAGTAAACTTCAGTAAAGAAGAACTCTCGTGTCTCTCGTGTATGTGTCTATCTGTACCGGAGAAGGCAACGAGATGGGTGGACCGAAGCTACAAGCAAGAGACGCTACTAGCAAAAGAACTATCACATGCTCCAGCAAATGCATAGAATAAGTAAAGAAGCAAGCTAACAAGTGAAAGATAATCAAGCAAACACAAAAGTCAGTTTCTTGGAAGTAACAAAAGAACCTGTAAACTGCTATCAAGCCTCAGTTGCATTTGAGATCCAACGTGACCTTTTATATTAAGGAGCAGCTAAAATCAAGATTTATCAAGTAAATGTTCAAGTCAAGTGAAAATACTATTAAGAAAACATGGCGGATGAAAATCAAGGTGCATTACAGCCCACTGAAGAAGAAAGTGCTGAGGATAATTTTCAAAATGATGAAAGTAAAGAGCAGACAAATGGAGAAGAAACTCCGCAGTCCTCAGTATTTACTGAGAGCACACAGCCAGAAAACATGTGCAGAAACCACTCTCACTGAAAAGGGACAATCTTTACAAGAAGCCAAGTGAAATGTTTTGACAAACAGTTTTGATTGAGTTTACAAGAAGTGGAAATACCACATAAACTTATTTAAAAGAATAGTGAAGAGTAAAGACATTGAGTTAATACCTGAAGCTGTAAGTGTTATAGACGCTAGTATGACT